GTGTACGGAATGTGGGTAACTGTTTATATAACATTACTTGTCGGTATTCTGTTACTAAGCGAACAACGGATAAGACCAGTTGTTAAAAATGTTTTGTACTATGTTCCTTTTTGTATTCGGAAATAATACATTCTAACTAAAATGTAAGTGTGCATTGATATTTTTTAAATTAATATTCTATGTTATACAGTTCGTCATAAAAATGATATGTTAAACAGCCTCCCCCTTATACCACTTTTTTCATATCATAGGCTATGCCATACTACTATGTAATCAAAAAATTTTGTAAAATACATCTATGCTGTACCATTATATGTCAAGTAAGCAATTTTATGTTATCATCACCTCACGTTTTTAGTTATGTTCCTACTAACCAATACCGTAAAACTAACCTTAAATTATATTTTTTTGTGTAATCTTAACAGCACTGAAGAGGGGTTGGAAATTTAAGCCAACCCGAAATGCATATGAATTAGGAATTTTTTAAATAAAACGTACGTTTTCTAACCAATTGCTGTCCGTTCGTCTACCAACTCGTTTTGGATTACACAGACGCTACACACTGCATTTGATGATACAGCAACCACGTCCTCTACATTAAGAAGTTAACACTACTTTAAAATAGAAATGTAGCGAGAGAACGGCAGAGAGAGGTTTATTTCTCTGGACCCTAAAAGAGAAAATGTGTAACGAATTCATCTAACAGATAGCAATATTTAAAAACAAATTTTTGCATTAATGTTAATAACCTTTGTCTTATTCATTACCACTGTACCATTAAAACATGCACAAGTATCTATATGTGTATATACCCTCAAGCTCCCCAAAACCGCCATGTGTGTCTGTTTTAAAAGCAGTCTCTTTCATAACATAGTATAAAACTTAGGAAGGAATGCTGCATTAAATACTAGAAAAATATAGTACCTTAATAATAATAATAATAACACTCTTAGGAGACAACTCCTTGTCAGATCGCCCATGTATTGCGTTGCCTCAGAGGCGCATCCAGGAGCATTGCTTATGGCGCTGTAGTATTCTCGTGACTTTAAAATACAAAAATAAATTTAATAATGCATATCATAACTTCAGTTAGATAAAATTAGGTAAATAAAATAATTCTAAGGTAACTCAATAACGTTCTCCGAAAAACGATAGGGGCATGTCCCTGGTCCTCCCGAATATAGTTTAAGCAGCATCTATACCTTAATACGTTTTATCCCATCAATCCAATCCAATTCATTGTAAAATATAATTTCGTATTCTTTAATTCCAATGTGCTTTATCGAATGTGCAGGTTAAAAAATCCCAAAATTCTTTGGGAGCTCGGCTGTGCTGTCGTAGTTTAAACTTCAATAATAGACGTCTCAGTGTGGACCTGGCCGAACACACAAATTTGGTATGGAGGCTTGTGTATGAGGGGCATTGATTCTATTAAATTATGGTGGTTAAAGATCGAGGGAGTGTGGAGATAAAAGGGATTCGTGGATCATATCTCGAGAGTGGTTGGACTTAATGAAGATTTTACTAGTTATTAGCAATAATTTTTTTTATTAAAATTTTAACAAATAAAGAAAATTTATTAAGATCATTTGTAGATTTACCCGTGACATGTAGATCAGAATATTTCTTCTGCAATCGCTACTAAGTTTTCTCGTACAATTTTGTAAATTCTGAAAAAATCAGTTTATTTAAATTTTATTGCATAAAAGTTAAAATTTTAAATTACGTTAAATTAATAATTTTATGACATTTATTTTTACATTTACTTAAAATGTAGAAGAGAAAATTGTATTTGTTTAGAATGAAAATGGTAGTTATTTTAAAGGTNATAAGATTTAAGAAGAGTGAAACCTAAAAAAATTTTCGTAATTCAGGTATCATTTTAATCAATTATCTTATACACAAGGGATTCTCTACGTTAGATTTGTGAAAGTTCGGTGCTGTCAGGTGCAATTTACAACATAAAAATGAAGCAATTTTACATTCAAATGATTATAAATTATTTTTTAAAAAACTAGCAACGAGTTGCTCAACTTTCCCGGCAATATTTAAAATTACGTGTGGCGCCATCTGTTATGATATTTTATTATAAAACTTTTTATATTTTTAACTATTATAAAATGGCAAAAAGCTTAATTCTGAGAGTAGGAGTGAGTTTTATATATAAAAAAAAAATTAAATGCTAATAACGAGTAAAATCGTCAAATCCTACCCTACTGGAGATACACACGACCCAATCATCTCCCCAACCCCTCAACCTTTAACCACCAACATTTAATAGCATCAATCCCTCTAATAAACAAACCTCCCTGCAAAATTTCAGAAAATTTTGACCAAAAGCGCATGAGTTATTAAGCTTTAAAGATGGTGAACTCCTTAATATCCATACTACAGAAATTACCTGGCAACACAATAATATACATGTTATAAACACAGTGAGCAATTCCATCACACGTACTGTACATGTATATTTCAGATAATGTTGCCCAATTTAATAACAGATGGCGACACAAGAAAAGACAATTAGTATTGATAGATTACAGGTAACACTCGATACCTGTACAGTAGTATATATACAAAAATTCCCAAAAATTACTTAGAAATATATTTTATATTATTTTAAGAACAGTTACATATTGTTATACCTGATTTAGTCGCTTTGTTAGAAGCGAATGGAAACGACTCAATTGCAAATAATAAATTACAGTTAATTTTAATATATATTTCTGTTAATTGAGTTGTATTCAGGGAACAGGGAACAAGTGTCCTTCCAAATTTGGGTGAAACTTAGTTAAAATTCGGGTAAAGCAAGACCAAAAAATCAGACAGAGAAAGGAGAAAGATTAACAGATTTTGTTGTGTTTATATCTGTGTAAAATTTCGAAAAAACCACACCTCTGCTCTCCTTATTCAGTATTTTCATAAGCTGGTGTATAACGCAGAATGTTAAATAAGAAATCTGATTGACTATAAAGGCGAAGAGAAGAATTTTTCTGAGTACCTTTTGTATGATATCCTCAGTTAGCCAGTCATACGATCGTGTTGATAATAATGGAAGAGGTAAAAATGATTATTCAGTAATTTTATTATCATTATATATATAAAAGCACGTATAGCCATATTTCTGATGAATAACGCGGACAGGATGACACCACAAAAGATGGTGCCATTAGGAAAAGTAATGATAATTGAACTAAAAGTTCTAGAAGTAATGGACTCGGGAATTCGAAACGAACAGGATCGCAATATAACTATGGCTCTGATTTCTGGATTATATATAATAAATAAACATTGGTACGCATTCTTTGTGGAAGATCCTGTATATATGTGGAATATTTTAAAATTATTTGTTTTTCAGTTGAATTTAATGTAGGCCTATAAAATGACAGCGTCAATACAGATAAAATTAATAAAGTTAACGAGATTTTAAACATAATTAAATAGGGGAGCTGTACTGTGTATAGCGCAATTTGTTGGTATATAATATAATTATACTATTATACTGAATTATTTAAGAATTTACTTATTCATGAGCCAGTTATCCTAATGGCTGCGTGTGTAAAATGCCCATTTAGTAAATTTACAAATGCGAGTTTCAATTTAATTTTTACGAGTAACGACTCAAAATAATTAATTATCATTTAGCCGTTATTGTAATTCTAAAATTATTTATTACCAAATACATATTTTAATTCTTAAAATTTAAAATTAAATAAATAAAATACTCACAATAACGTTTTCTATAAATTCTTCACAATTATGTGATTCTTCACTTTCCTAACAATGAAAAAATATTTTTTGATAAGCGATATTTATAATTGACACGATTTGTTCTATTCTACATTGTCTAGTAAGTAAGAGGATAGCTCTTTTGTAAGAATTTATATATTTTTTATCTTAAAAAAATATTAAAATTATTCTTGAATTTTTTAAGTGTCAGTAAGCAGCCATTAAATATATAACACACTGCATTTTTAAAATGACTTAGTTACTTCACATCTTTAATAGTAAGATTTTAAATTCACAATACAGTATTAACAATGGGTATGACCCTCTTATGTGCCCAATACAGTATTAATGGGTATGACCCTCTTAGTGCTCTTAATACAGTATTAACAATGCGTATAATGAAACCCCAATTGATACTTAGTTTTTCATCAATGTTGTTGTTCATGCACATTGCCATAATTTGTGCGATAATTTAATAAAATAAAGCAGAGGATAGATCACTTATAATGAATTTAAACGTAAACAATTGAAACGAATTAGACAAAAATTAATGAAGTCGAAATAATAGTTTTAAATTAAGAAAAATCAGATAAGATTTAAGAAGAGTGAAACCTAAAAAAATTTTCGTAATTCAGGTATCATTTTAATCAATTATCTTATACACAAGGGATTCTCTACGTTAGATTTGTGAAAGTTCGGTGCTGTCAGGTGCAATTTACAACATAAAAATGAAGCAATTTTACATTCAAATGATTATAAATTATTTTTTAAAAAACTAGCAACGAGTTGCTCAACTTTCCCGGCAATATTTAAAATTACGTGTGGCGCCATCTGTTATGATATTTTATTATAAAACTTTTTATATTTTTAACTATTATAAAATGGCAAAAAGCTTAATTCTGAGAGTAGGAGTGAGTTTTATATATAAAAAAAAAATTAAATGCTAATAACGAGTAAAATCGTCAAATCCTACCCTACTGGAGATACACACGACCCAATCATCTCCCCAACCCCTCAACCTTTAACCACCAACATTTAATAGCATCAATCCCTCTAATAAACAAACCTCCCTGCAAAATTTCAGAAAATTTTGACCAAAAGCGCATGAGTTATTAAGCTTTAAAGATGGTGAACTCCTTAATATCCATACTACAGAAATTACCTGGCAACACAATAATATACATGTTATAAACACAGTGAGCAATTCCATCACACGTACTGTACATGTATATTTCAGATAATGTTGCCCAATTTAATAACAGATGGCGACACAAGAAAAGACAATTAGTATTGATAGATTACAGGTAACACTCGATACCTGTACAGTAGTATGATTTCATTAAAAATATATAAATTAACATAATAAAAAATATTTTAAGCTTAATTAAATGCAAATACATTTTTTAGAAGAAACATTTCACATTATTACAATTTACTATTAAATTTTCCTATTATTATGGTCAACCCCTTAGAGTTTACGCCCATGCTGATTATAATTTAACAATTTTACTTACTTTTAACGCGGATTCGACTTCTCCAAAAAAGTTAACTATATCAAATAAAGCCTGCAGAAAATAATGAAAATAATATATTTTATTGAGTTATATTTATTTTAAAATGTAGGTAAATCACTAGAATGAATTTCATTTTAGAAACGTATAACAGGGAAATTTAACTCGTTGAAAGCGAGTTAAATATTCCTATTATACGTTTCTAAAAAGTAATTTATGATCGTTAAATTTACATTTTCAATGTAAATTTAACGATCATAAATTACTTTTTCAATAAAATAAGATATAAATTATTGAACTTTGTGGTATTAAGTTTGTATAATTCGTTTAGTCGTTTAAAGATGGTAAAAATAATATATTTAAACTTTATAATATTATATATTGATATTTAAATAATATAATATAATCATAATATATATAGGCCTATATATATATACTGTATAATACTATTTATTTCAGTGGCGTATTGTCGCTTTGTGGGGCCCATACAAATTTGAATTAGGGAGCACCATGTACTGTACTGTACAGTGTTGACGTCAGATATTTTTCTTCGAGGGAATTTTTTAGGGAAATATTTTCTTATAAAAGCTTGTTTTCGGGTCCCACGCAATTGCCTATTTTGCCCATAGAATAAAGCACTGCTGATTTATTTATACTTTTACTTAATTATTTACACAGTATACTATTTCAGAATTAGTTTATTTTACAACTCATATTTGTTATAAAATATTATGAATAAGTGTTTCTTATTTCACTACAAAGTAGGTTTACTCATATACAACAGTTACTCAGAAAAACAGCTTACAGCTACTGTATATCTCAAACAAATTTGTAAATTATTTCAGGTGTGCTCCATTGCATGCCAGGTAATGCCGCCAGAGTGCCTTAAAACTGCTACTTAGTATTCTACAAAAAGGCTGGCAGAGACTCATTGTCAGAATTTTTAATACATATTTTGTCATTTTTCATATACTAATAATGCCGAAGTCGCAAGAATCAGACTGAAACTACCTAATTTTAAAGAAAGAGTTAAGTATTTCGACCGAATTTTAATCTATAAATATTTTAATGGCGTAATATACGATTACTGGCTCAAGTTGAAAGTTTCCTTCAGATTAAGTCACACTTTGGTCTGCCTAATCTTCACATTTGTCGCCCTTCGTAGGAAACTTTAGATCTTGTACGAGTGTAAGTAATCTAAAACGAAAGTTCCAATATTTGCAGGCAAATCTGTGGCAATGTAGCCTTCGGTGCCTATATACCTCCAACCCCGACTGTATTGCTGCATTTGCCCAGGCAAATCGTACTAAAGGTATTTTAAATTGTACGCTTGTACAGGAGCGTGTCTACATGAATAATTGTAATTATATCTCATGAAGACATGAGAGATATTCTTCAGTGTTATATAGAAATTAAATTATACAGTTACGTTTATAATAGACATTATAAAGCTTATATGTGTAAATGAACTATTTCTTTTTTTATTAAAATTTTAACAAATAAAGAAAATTTATTAAGATCATTTGTAGATTTACCCGTGACATGTAGATCAGAATATTTCTTCTGCAATCGCTACTAAGTTTTCTCGTACAATTTTGTAAATTCTGAAAAAATCAGTTTATTTAAATTTTATTGCATAAAAGTTAAAATTTTAAATTACGTTAAATTAATAATTTTATGACATTTATTTTTACATTTACTTAAAATGTAGAAGAGAAAATTGTATTTGTTTAGAATGAAAATGGTAGTTATTTTAAAGGTTTTGCGATAATAGGCCTATATTACAAATTAAGCGAATAAGTGAAATAAATAGCTTAAATTCGCATTATTATTTTGGTAAATAATTTCATTTTTTAGTTATTGCTTTGCCTTTTAGATTGCAAGATGAAATACATCATTAAGTTCAATGAACAGAATGGAGAGTTAACTGCTGACGTATTTTTCTAGTCAAGAATTCTGCAAATGTATTATTAATAGAGAGGTTGAGGACGACGTTTTCAACGCTAAAACGTGTACGTCGGACGTTCAGCGCCGCCTTCCTGTAAGCCTAGACGTTTGACAATGGCGTTTGGAACATCGAGCATGATTCCACTGACGTTACAAACGCCATTGTCAGACGTCTAGGCTTACAGGAAGGCGACACTGAACGTCCGACGTACACGTTTTGGCGTTGAAAACGTAGGCCGCAACCTCTCTATTATTACTATTTATTTATTTATTTTTAATTCTTCCCTGCAAAAATCTTATGAACCAAATTTTTCAGAAATGAATATAATAGATTGAATATAGATGCTTCACCGGCGATTTTGAATGGTATCCATTGTAAATCGCTGATGAAACATTATAATATTAGATATTAAAAATATTTACACGTCATATATGCATTATCTAAATCATACTATACATTATACATCCTTCAATAATATTATTTATATTTTATTAATATGTTCTTTCCATCTTTAAAAAAGTTCTCAAGAATATTTTAGAATTTTATATTTTAAAAGGGTAATAAATAAATGTATACGATGTATAAATGGTGCAAAGCATAAGTTTCACATAACATATAATAGAATAAAAGATGAATTAATAAGAAAGCTTTTTTAATAATAAAATTAATATTTATTCCATACTTACAAAAAATGAATAGCCATTCGAACAGTGCTTGCGGCTCTAAAATTTTAAAAAGATATAGATATAAATGCTTGTTTTCTTATTTTTGAATTAAGATCAATCATCAATAATTACGTATAAATTAAAAAATTGCATACACGTATATAAAGTGTGTATGTGTCAGACATAATAGGACAATGTTAAAAGCGCTGAAGAGCTATTCATCGCTTGTGTTGACCAATCAGTACACCACAGATTGGTCACCACAAGAGAGAAAATTGTTGAAAAACTAATTACTTGATATCTAATTCACGTAAACGAAAACCTTGTTTTCGAATAAGACTAACTCTTTTAATATTACAGAGCTTTAAACATTGTCCTACTACTTTTTGCTCACTCTGTATACATATATTCACATATAACTTAAGTAAAATAAAATTTATAACTTACCAAAGTATTTGCCGATTCGTTTTTGCTGCTTTCACAACAATTAATTACCAATTGTTTTTGCTAAATAAAATTTGCATACAGAATTAATTATTGTAATTTTTTAAATATTAATTTAATATAGATTTTATTCTAGTATTGTATTCTATTACACAATTTACTGTAGAAACATTTTTGATTAGTCTAAATCCTGTTATTTTTTTTACAAAAACTATTTAATTTAAAACGAAAAAACTACCAATCTGTATTGAGTCTTATCTATTAAATATATGATCTAGAAATTTTATTAAAACAAGTTTTTCAAAGGATAAGTAATGAAATAAGAATTACATATTAACTATCCATTACATTAAGAATCCATTGCAATTTTTTGGAGGGTATATAAAAAAAGGTATCAGAACCGGTATACTTTTTAATAAATTAAAACTGAGTTATGTATTTCCCCCCCTTAAAAATTTGTGTCTATTGTTTCGATCCGTTGTATAATATGCAAATTAATATTAATTAATGGCGTTTTTATTTTTCGTCAGAGATTCCGAGAAATCCTGGTCATTACTGGAGGTCTTTCCCAGAAAAACAAATAAATAAATGGAAATGCTTTACTATCAATAAAATGTTTATTTTTAGTTTTATACATTTAGTTGAATCTCGAATAGAAATATAAACTGTAGTAGAACCGGTTTAAATAGTAGTTTACATGAACTTCAAATAATATTTCAAAAATCAGATAAAATTGATAACATACCGAGGGAAAAAAATGTAAACTAAATTATATAATAATGCTCATATAAGAATTCAAAATTAATGAAAGTACCGGACAAAAAAACAGAAACCTTTGAACTGTTCAACAGCGCTTTGTCGTCCATTAAACCAATATCTATTAAAAATAAAATGTTTCCATCCCTCGTGGAGACGATTCCTAACAAAATTAAGGATTAATTTTTTAAAAAATCTGAATAAAATTTATTTAACCTTGAACATCCTATTTGTTGTTGTTGGAATTGTTACACATGAGTTCACAGGCCAAATCGATTAACTAGTATACCCTTGAAATAAACATTATTATTTTTTATGTATTTACCAATTTTATATGTCATTACATAAATAATTTTACTTTCCTGGCTCCATTTTGTATAATAGAGGAAAAATATAGCGATCGGTTAGAAAATGGCCCCTCAGGCCAGAAAAACTAAAATTACTTTTAACTTTAATATACAATTAATTAATATTTGTATTCTTGCTAATGAGACCTATTAATGTGATGGATGAGACTATTATGCAGGTGCTGATGGTAGGAGAAGATGAAATTAGAAGAGATATTTTTCGTATATCTTGATTGTTTTTTATGTTGTGAACAGCAAACCCTACGCAAAGGAATATTAGAGCCTTGAAGAGAGCATTACTCAATAGCAAATTATAGTTATTATTTGAATTGTAATTATTGATATGTTATTAATTAATATTAATAAATTCAAATTCAACCTTGATAGTAGGTTAATTGGACTACTTTCAACTTTTAGTTGTTCTTGTGTGAAGCTCCGGAAGTAGGTCGAAATTCGTGCACAGAAAATGTTTTAATTTCGTATTTATAATAATTATTATTTTATATTGTAAAAAGAAACCATCAAACGCAAAATGAATATTTTATGTCCATATAAAGACATATCTTTATAAATTCCTGAGAAAAAAACGAATTTCTCAGAAAGAAACAATAGATGAATTTGAGTACTTAGATCGAACATCTTCGATGGAAATTGTCAGTCGGAGTTGACTCACCCCGCGATCTGGGCTCCGATCTTGTTACAATTCGTAACGAGGAGGGGGGGACCAATTAGAGAGCGGGGCAGATCGGCATCGACCTATCGGAATGTTCGATCTGGGACCAAGAAAAAATATAAAAACCGCGCAAAAAAATGCTGTGACATTCTTGGTTCGTAGTGCTCCTCTCCAGGATTCTTGTCATCCGGACGTTCTCCCACGAGAACTTCTCAGATATTCGGAGGACTTGTCGTCACCCTCCCGTGCCATCAAGATCGCTAAAGTCCACCTTGTAGATAGAAGACCTCAGTCCAAATAGTGTTGTGCAGCCCAGAGTAGACGTCTTCACGCCACCATCGCAAGAAAGAAAAACTACCGTCAGAACAGTTGAACTTTTAGTGTTACGAACTTATTTCTCGACTTTGGATAGGCGTTACGCCGTTTTAAGGATTTGTTGTAAGAGAAATTTTTATATTTATTAAACGGTATACGATGGAGAACCTGTCTCAGTAAGTTTTTTTTTTACTCCCACAAGACAGTGCTGACCGCTCGACTGTCGCGACACTTTCTCCCCAATCGGCAAACCTCACACTTGCGTGTAAGGCCGCAGGCGATGAATTTTACAAATTTAACTTTAAATCGACTGTGGCATGTAGCCAAGTTTTAGGGAAGTTTTAAATCTGCTATGCATATCAATAACAAAAATGAATCGAATAATATTTAAACAAATTTCAAGTTCTTTTGATACATGTACAGTACGTACTGTACAATTCATATCTTGCGATGTTTCGTATTTCATGCAGGTTAATAAACAAATCTGATAATAGTAATAAATAATTCTTCTTTATATCTTGTTAAATTAATTGGCCATTTTTTTTAGAAATTTTCAATGGAGCGAAATGGTAATTAAAGTGCCAAGGTGAAAATGACGTTTTGGCAGAGATATATAATAAATTTTGCAAACGTAAGCAATTATTTATGGATTTCAATTTATTTTAAGGAAATTACGCTTCAATAAATTTAGGTTTGAAATATATTTGTTTACACGCAATGTTTTCTCATAGTCGCCTCAGTAACTTTCTATAAACTTCTATAACTTATAAAGAAAAATTGTATATGGCGCGGTTATTTCGGTTCCTGTAAGTAAGCACTTGCATTAGCTAGTTGGGCATGAGCTTCTCAGGCTATATTGCCCCGTAGTAAAGTGTGACGTTATTGCCATGTAATATTAGTCGTATGTGTTTATGATGGTCGTTACGCGGGAAATAATACCTTCCGGGAGGTCTTTTAAGGGTAACTGGCCCCTATTCAAGTGTTAAAGACGTGGAGAAAACCCAGAAAACTCCACACGATCAGCCTGTTCGGACGAGACGCGAACCCACGACCCAGTGTTCAGGTAACGAAACCTCTTGATCACTGGCGGGCCAAATAAGCACTTATCAGGACCGAAATAACCGCACCATCTACAGTCCAACCCTAAAATGATTGCTTTTAATACGATCGGCTAGAAAATTATTCTTTACTAAACGTATGAAAAGTATATAATACGTTTTTTTGCAAATTGCTGGGGATAGACATAATTCCAACTTTACCACTTTTCAATATTAACACAATGCAACTTATATCATATGTAAAATAAAGTATATTTTAAAAGTTATATTATGTAAACGCTAATTAAATGTACAGAACTTTGTATTTTGTTACAATATTTCATGTTTAAACTAGTTAAAAAGCAGCTTGCTTCTTCTAAACCAGTGTTTCTCAACCTCTAACGAATCGTCGCACCCCTTCAACGTAGTATCGCCCCTTTCACTCCAAAATTCCGATGCCGAGGGCCAGGGCTAACGCCAAATTCGTACTGCATTAAATAGACTAATGACTAGTATGATGTTATTTGTTTAATTATTGTACGATATTACGAATAAAATAACTAATTAATCTCAATATAATGTTTTACTATATCGCCCAGAAAATTGTTTTTCTCCCCCAAAATATAAATTGTTACAAATCGCCCCCTCAATATGTAAAAACGCCCACATGGGGGCGATATCGCCTCCGTTGAGAAACACTGTTCTAAACCGGAAGAGTTAAATCTAGACATAGTAGCGAGGTTGAGGTCGAAGTTATAAATGTGAAAACGTATACGTCGGACGTTCAGCGCCGCTTTCCCATAAGTTTGACAATGGTGTTTGGAATGTCGAGCATTATTCCACTGATTATCCAAACACCATTTTCAAAGTTCTAGACTTACAGGAAAGCGGCGCTGAACGTCCGACGTACACGTTTTCACATTTATAACTTCGACCTCAACCTCGCTAGTGAGAACGAAATAGGTTTAAGACATGAACTTTCAGAATATGTAATCAAATTTACTCCAACATGAATAATTTTTAAGTTATAATGCATGATTTTCGGAAACAAACAGCCTCCTATGGCTGCTAAGTCATTGATGTACTATGACAATTTAATTACCATTTCTAGATAAATTTCCTAGACTGCATTTTATTACTTTCTCCCGCTGTTATACACGATGCGATCGTAAAGTCGCTCCGTAGTGACCATACTCATGTAGCTTGTGACTTCATTACTTCGTTCCTGGTAGCTCTTCCCGTTTTCTCGCCTATTGCGAACCGACTTTACGATCACACGGTATAACGGAAGGAAAGAAAGTATGACGATAGGTCAAAAAATGCCCCCCCCCCGAAATTTTTACATTTTTGGATTCTGGGAACGTCCAGAAATGTAAAAAAAGTTGGGAGTTTTTTCTGTATGTATACAGTAGATGTTTGTGTGGGGGGAGAACATGATTTTGTTTATTCTTTGAAGCTTAATAACTTCTGTGAATTTTGTCGAAAATATCTGAAAATTTTCAGGGTGGTTTATGTATTAGAGAGATTGATGCTATTAAATTTTGATGATTAAAGGTCAACGGGGTGGGGAGCTAGAGAAGGTCACGATATCTCGAGTGGAGTCGAACTAGATGATTTTACTCGTTATTATCATTTACAATTTTTTAAAACTTATCTCTGCTTTAAAAATTAAGCTTTTTGCCATTTTATAATAATTAATAATATAAAAAGTTTTTAAAGTAAAATATCATAACAGTTGGCGCCACACACAATTTTAATTTTATTTGCTGGGAAAGTTACGCATTACGCAACTTGTTGCTGGATTTTATTGTATAATTATCTACAATTTAAATTAAAAATAATCGACTATTAAATTATTTCTTCTTTTACAGATAAGAAAACTGGATAAGAATAACATTGAAATGTAGCCTTGTTCGAATTCTCTTTTCATGAATAATAATCATAGTAAAAGAAAAATTGCCTTCGAGAATGCCGAAGACTATTCAAGATAAGGAATCTTGAATAGTTATGACTGACCTTGACAATTGAAATAGCAACCCTATAAATACATGTAAGAGTCGTGTATTTAGCGTACTATTAATATTACTTTTCTGTCTTTTATAGAGTATAATATAAAGAAAATACGGTTAATGATCAAATTTTAATCCCCCTATTTTGCTTTTTTCGATGTTTTGACACTCTACGAGCCCAAAACTGAAAAAAATCTCTTACAAAATTGTGTGCGCCTCGGCAATGCGACACAGTTTAGATCATACATCAAGACTGGAGAGACCAAGAGCCTACCAATGGCCGAGTGGATAAAACCACTGGCCATTGATAGTTGGTCGTGGGTTCGCACGTCGCCACGTGGAGTTTTCCGGATTTTCTTCGCCTTTATAACACCTAAATAGGGCCAGTCTTCCCAGAAGGCATCCCCTCGGTATATCGCCTATGTTTCGCGTTGCCGTTTACAAAGAAACAAATTGGACAGATCAAAAAAGTTAATACGGTTATTTCTACATATCGGGTATCGATGTTTTTAAACTTTGCCAGTTAAAGGTCAAGAGGATGGAAGATAGAAAGTGTCAAGTGTCATGTCTCCAGTAGAGCCAGATTTAATGAAATGTTTACTTGTTATTGGCATTTAAAATTTTTTTAAAACTTATCCCTACACCGAAAACAAGTTTTTGCGTTTTTATAATCTGAATATATAAAATTGCTTGTCCTGACTGACTGACTCACTCATTCACTCACTGATTCATCATCGCCCAGAGCAAACCGCTTAACCTAAAGAGGTGAAATTTAGTAGACAGTTAGGGTATGTCATGGAAACGCGCACTAAGAAGGGATTTTTCGAAATTCCCCCGCGGGGGGAGAGGGAGAGCATTAAGACTTAACCGAAAAAACGGCTTCTACTGTACTATTTTAGATGCGATTTTCTGTTTTTATCTGCGCTTTAGTAGGGTACCCCATGGTAATACACACTAAGAAGGGATTTTTCGAAATTCCCCCGCTTGGGGGAGAGGGAGAGCATTAAGGCTTAACCGGAATAATGGCTTCTACTGTACTATTTTAGATGCGACTTTTTGTTTTTATCTGCGCTTTAATAGGGTATGCCATAGCAATGCAAACTAAGAAGGGATTTTTCGAAATTCCCGCGCAGGCGGGAGAGGGAGAGGATTTAGTCTTCATCGAGTACTTAGGTGTATTAAATTAATAACATTTCAGACATTGTTATAAATATTTTTATCTATTTCGATTTAAAAAATGTTCGAACCATTTTAAATTCAAATTTGTTATTGCATATTGGTTCGATTATAGAACGATTGTAAACGTTCCAGAAAATTGATCAAATTGAAAATTGTTTGTTTGATTTTCGGCAATTCTTATTATTCTCGGCGGTAGGTGTTATATAACAATTACTATAGTTGTTGAAATACAGAATATAAATGGGGTTTGCTTGCAAAACCTCCGCGGTCGAAATCGCGGGTAACAGCTAGTTAATAATATAAAAATGTTTAATCATTATATACACTGCTGGATTTTTTCATATGTTAATGAATTCATTTTTTTGTTTGTTGCGAATTTATGAGATTTATGTATGTTTTATCTTTATGATAGAAAAAAAAATTAAATTGTCAATCTTGAAATGTAGGCTAAATATAGATCTTTTATTATATAACCGCTCCAGGTACTGTACTTACTTATAAATCAACGGCTTATTCATTATATTTGACAGGCAAACCGTCAAAAATATTGAATAACTTCTCTTTTTATAAAACGACATTAATTATTGCTTAATAATTGGTATGAAAATATAGATATTTTATTATTTAACCGCTCCAGGTGCTTACTTATAAATCAAAGGCTTATTCATTATATTTGACAGGCAAACCGTCAAAAATATTGAATAACTTCTCTCTTTATAAAACGACATTAATTATTGCTTAATAATTGACATGAAAATATTCAAGGATACTTTAAATAAATATATTTTTACTTTCAAGAAAAATTTGGAAAGTTATTTGCAATTTTATTTTTAAAATTTTATATTATAGAATTATGCAGTATTAAAAATTGTAGTAATGTAAGTTGTTCTAAAATAAACAGATAGCACTAATTTATAAGAAATTTATAATATTATATACACGAATAAATTTAATAATAAAAGTTTTTACTATAAATAGAGCATATAATTTACTCTTTTTCTTAATTTTATTGAATCTTCTTTTACTATTATAATAGAAAACATGCGAAATTGAATTACAACATGTAATTATAACATATCAAATACCATAATGTTACTGGCAAAATACAGTGAAACCTGTGTCGTACGGTACCGAATATTTTTCCGTTTTAAACAGGTTTCTTTTAACGCAGAAAATCTATGAGTTTCTAAGAATTATTCCAGTTTTATTAGGCAGGTTTCCATTTTTATTAAGGTTCCGCTTTGAACAGGTTTTACTGTAATTGTTCGACTGTAAATTTTATAGAAATTTATAAATAAAATATTGAATTCTGTATTGAATTTCATTCAGTTTTTGATCCTTGAATCTATTTTTGTCTCCATGATTGATAGTTTTTATATGAAATTTTTTGAATCATTATTCCTATAACCACTCGTTAACATAACTTTAAAATTTCAGAACAATTGTACAATTGTTTATCTGTAATTGCCAACATACTATTATAAACATAAATTGTCTTCTTATCAAAGTTATTCTATTCTTTTACTTAAATTAGAATTTAGAAAATTGGCAAGTCTTTCACAATTAACAGGAAAATATTAGAAAATTTCCAATTTTCTACAGTACAAAAGCTAGAAAATAATGATTTGATTCTTAATTTTATCATTTCATTATATATTATTTATAATTATTAAACCGGTCGGCAGTTGCCACAAGTTCGTATTTTGCATAAACAACTCAATTAATCAAATCATGCTAAATGCCCACAGGTCAGAAACGTCCTTAATAGACAAATTAGTGATGTAGAATTTCATGTCAGTAATACAATAGTCTGTAGTTATAATTCTGCATAAGAATCTCAATAATTATAATAATTATATAATATAGAATAAAACCGATAAAAATTACGAATTAAATAAAATACTTTTTCCTCTATGAATTAAATATAAAAGTAAAAATGTACCTACAATTAATAATGAGAAAGTTTTCCTTAAGTAAAGAAAATCAATATCATACGTCAATAATAAGTGTTATATTACGATCGTCTTTTATTCTTTATATAATCATGTTTTCAATTAATAATAAACAGAGAATAAAATTTTTGATTAAATTTTAAATATATTTTCTATGATTAATGAATGCCTAAATAGCATTTTTATTGCATTGTCGATGAGGAAAATATATTTATTTATTTATTTTATAACCTCGATTAAATAGATGAAACAGGGACTAGCAAACTATTCAGTTTTCTATCTAAATTTAACTAAATGTACACGGTAAGTATCGTGGGCTTCCTGGAGGTAGTAGAAAACAAGGCATTTGAATTCAGATGGGAGCTAAAACTCTGACAGTTACTCTATCTATAGATATACTTTGCATACTTCACAGATAATAATTAAAATAATTACAGTAATTTAAAATGGTAGCATTCATTTTAGAAGACCATTTGTTAGCTGCAAGTTTTTAACTGTTGGATTTTAAAGATGAAAGAATCGAAATCAAATCTTAAAATTTCAACCGTTTCAAAGCTCCTTTAGAGATTTTAAACTGAAGAATTACATTGTAGTTGTATTAAATTATTGATATTTAAGAATTTTAGTATCGAGAATATGAATCAGAAACTATTTCAAATATTTTTCTAGATTCTTAAATATTAATAATTATAATTATGAATATAAAAAATGATATTTTGACTTACATTTATTGGATTTGTTTCGGAAATAATACATTGGCTAAACGAACATAAACATTCTCCCAGTTTGCAGTTCAATGAGAAAACTAGAAAGACAAAAGAGAAATTTTTACCTAACGAAGATGTAATTTAAATTAAATGATGATTTAAAATTATAGTTCGACATTGTCACAATAATATAAAGTTGAAAGAATAAGGATTGAGTATATTTTTAGTGAATATTAAACAGAGTTTTCTTATTACAACGACGTTCTTTCGTACTGAAAACAAGCAGGTGTTCAGTTTCTAACATGTGTGAAACTTTTCCTATTATACAGAACTGAAGAATAAGAACTAAACTTAATCAAAGTTAATTTTAAAAATATTCAGTTTTCTATAATTCATTATATCAGCTCCGGACGGTTTAAAACATTATAAGCAAACTCTAAAATCGACTCTGCAATGATTGCATATCCGATAAAAGTTATAAATATTTATCATTCAACTGGACAAGTGAACAAACAAAGTAATAAATTGNCGAATTTGTTATTGCATATTGGTTCGATTATAGAACGATTGTAAACGTTCCAGAAAATTGATCAAATTGAAAACAGTTCGTTTGATTCTCGGCAATTCTTATCATTCTCGGCGGTAGGTGTTATATAACAATTACTATAGTTGTTGAAATACAGAATATAAATGGGGTTTGCTTGCAAAACCTCCGCAGTGGAAATCGCGGGTAACAGCTAGTTAATAATATAAAAATGTTTAATCATTATATACACTGCTGGATTTTTTCGTGTGTTAATGAATTCATTTTTTGTTTGTTGTGAATTTATGAGACTTATGTATGTTTTATCTTTATGATAGAAAAAAAAATTAAATTGTCAATTTTGAAATGTAAATATAGATATTTTATTATTTAACCGCTCCAGGTGCTTACTTATAAATCAAAGGCTTATTCATTATATTTGACAGGCAAACCGTCAAAAATATTGAATAACTTCTCTCTTTATAAAACGACATTAATTATTGCTTAATAATTGGTATGAAAATATTCAAGGATACTTTAAATAAATATATTTTTACTTTCAAGAAAAATTTGGAAAGTTATTTGCAATTTTATTTTTAAAATTTTATATTATAGAATTATGCAGTATTAAAAATTGTAGTAATGTAAGTTGTTCTAAAATAAACAGATAGCACTAATTTATAAGAAATTTATAATATTATATACACGAATAAATTTAATAATAAAAGTTTTTACTATAAATAGAGCATATAATTTACTCTTTTTCTTAATTTTATTGAATCTTCTTTTACTATTATAATAGAAAACATGCGAAATTGAATTACAACATGTAATTATAACATATCAAATACCATAATGTTACTGGCAAAATACAGTGAAACCTGTGTCGTACGGTACCGAATATTTTTCCGTTTTAAACAGGTTTCTTTTAACGCAGAAAATCTATGAGTTTCTAAGAATTATTCCAGTTTTATTAGGCAGGTTTCCATTTTTATTAAGGTTCCGCTTTGAACAGGTTTTACTGTAATTGTTCGACTGTAAATTTTATAGAAATTTATAAATAAAATATTGAATTCTGTATTGAATTTCATTCAGTTTTTGATCCTTGAATCTATTTTTGCTCCATGATTGATAGTTTTTATATGAAATTTTTTGAATCATTATTCCTATAACCACTCGTTAACATAACTTTAAAATTTCAGAACAATTGTACAATTGTTTATCTGTAATTGCCAACATACTATTATAAACATAAATTGTCTTCTTATCAAAGTTATTCTATTCTTTTACTTAAATTAGAATTTAGAAAATTGGCAAGTCTTTCACAATTAACAGGAAAATATTAGAAAATTTCCAATTTTCTACAGTACAAAAGCTAGAAAATAATGATTTGATTCTTAATTTTATCATTTCATTATATATTATTTATAATTATTAAACCGGTCGGCAGTTGCCACAAGTTCGTATTTTGCATAAACAACTCAATTAATCAAATCATGCTAAATGCCCACAGGTCAGAAACGCCCTTAATAGACAAATTAGTGATGTAGAATTTCATGTCAGTAATACAATAGTCTGTAGTTATAATTCTGCATAAGAATCTCAATAATTATAATAATTATATAATATAGAATAAAACCGATAAAAATTACGAATTAAATAAAATACTTTTTCCTCTATGAATTAAATATAAAAGTAAAAATGTACCTACAATTAATAATGAGAAAGTTTTCCTTAAGTAAAGAAAATCAATATCATACGTCAATAATAAGTGTTATATTACGATCGTCTTTTATTCTTTATATAATCATGTTTTCAATTAATAATAAACAGAGAATAAAATTTTTGATTAAATTTTAAATATATTTTCTATGATTAATGAATGCCTAAATAGCATTTTTATTGCATTGTCGATGAGGAAAATATATTTATTTATTTATTTTATAACTTCGATTAAATAGATGAAACAGGGACTAGCAAACTATTCAGTTTTCTATCTAAATTTAACTAAATGTACACGGTAAGTATCGTGGGCTTCCTGGAGGTAGTAGAAAACAAGGCATTTGAATTCAGATGGGAGCTAAAACTCTGACAGTTACTCTATCTATAGATATACTTTGCATACTTCACAGATAATAATTAAAATAATTACAGTAATTTAAAATGGTAGCATTCATTTTAGAAGACCATTTGTTAGCTGCAAGTTTTTAACTGTTGGATTTTAAAGATGAAAGAATCGAAATCAAATCTTAAAATTTCAACCGTTTCAAAGCTCCTTTAGAGATTTTAAACTGAAGAATTACATTGTAGTTGTATTAAATTATTGATATTTAAGAATTTTAGTATCGAGAATATGAATCAGAAACTATTTCAAATATTTTTCTAGATTCTTAAATATTAATAATTATAATTATGAATATAAAAAATGATATTTTGACTTACATTTATTGGATTTGTTTCGGAAATAATACATTGGCTAAACGAACATAAACATTCTCCCAGTTTGCAGTTCAATGAGAAAACTAGAAAGACAAAAGAGAAATTTTTACCTAACGAAGATGTAATTTAAATTAAATGATGATTTAAAATTATAGTTCGACATTGTCACAATAATATAAAGTTGAAAGAATAAGGATTGAGTATATTTTTAGTGAATATTAAACAGAGTTTTCTTATTACAACGACGTTCTTTCGTACTGAAAACAAGCAGGTGTTCAGTTTCTAACATGTGTGAAACTTTTCCTATTATACAGAACTGAAGAATAAGAACTAAACTTAATCAAAGTTAATTTTAAAAATATTCAGTTTTCTATAATTCATTATATCAGCTCCGGACGGTTTAAAACATTATAAGCAAACTCTAAAATCGACTCTGCAATGATTGCATATCCGATAAAAGTTATAAATATTTATCATTCAACTGGACAAGTGAACAAACAAAGTAATAAATTGTACAGAAAGTTAATTCAAATGATTACAAATGTATTTTATTAAATAAAATCTCATAACAGCCAGAAAAATTATTCAACTGGTTGCTGGAATTATTTTATTGGTTAAATTTTTGTAGTGAATATACTGTATAATAATAAGTAATCTTTTAATTAAAGAAATTATTTTATCAGAAATCATAGCGTGATTATTATCTTCAAAACCTACAACTTTTAAATATAAATTAATTTTTTAACGTATAAATTAAATGATTGCGGCATACTTTATACATTGACCGAAAGCGAAATTATCTTTCGAATGTCTTTAATTATAAATTACTTAAATTGTAACTTACTCAATAAATTTCGAGAAGTACAATAAAGTATGCTCTCAATGCGAGAAGTGCTAAAATTGAGCTCAGTCAAACTTAATTCATAAGTAAATCTGTGTTATATTACATTAATTTTAAACGTTTCGAATATTTTATTTGTGTGTTATTTCTTTTTTGTTATCATTTATTGCATTATTACAATTTCTTCCGTTATCATCCTTTATTATGTGGCAATGAAAATGGAAAGACTTCACTAGCTTAGTGATTCTCAATCGTTTAGACTCGTGGCACACTTTTATAATCAGGAGAAGAACACAGTTTATTAATTATGCTAATAGGTTAATTACAAATGGCCGGTATTGTCGTGGAATGGCTTTCAGTCAGTCAAAGCGGGTGAACAAAATCTTTTGTAAATTTAAGCATGTTTGCACACTTAGTAACCCACTAAGAGAATTTGATCCTTGTGCAAAAGTTTATTTATAGAGCTTCACGAATAATAAAGCACTGTATAAATCAAGAATCATAGAGAAGTATGCAAACTTCTGAAATACAATTCATAATCCATAGAACTTTTTATTTTATTTCAAATTTAAAAATTTGCTGTTTTAATTTTTCAATCTATCTCGCGGGACGTCTGGAATGGCTCGTGGTATAGTAGTGTGCCACGGCACACCGGTTGAGAAGCACTGTGTAACATATCCTATCTTATCTATATATAACTATCTATCTAATATACTAAATATATACAAAAACAGTAAAAAGTATTAATATTTTAATTGACACTTAGTATATAGAATGGACGAACAACACAACATGCATTCATTTTTTGAGGTGTTGAAGACTTATAGAAAAGTAATAAAAATAGTCAGTTAATCAAATAAGTTTCACTCATAATGACTGGTACAATTGCAGGAAGAATCCCCCAAATAATAGATAAAATGGAGGTTGATTCTCATCATAGTTTTACTCCTTAACACGCGCATCAATGTTGTATGCAATGTGCTATCACTCCCAGCAACTGATCTAATTTTACGAATTATTTATCATGTTTATAAGCATGCAATTTTATACACAGTAATTAATTCTATTACAATTTTTCCGATATATGTTTTAATTAACATTTTAAACATTTGGCAAGTTTTTTTTATGAAATAAAGTATAGAAAAATAGCGTAATATTTATGATTTAACCAAGGATATTGAATAGTATTTAATATATAAACAACAAAATTGATTATAATAATAGATAACGCACTAAATGTTTATACGATCATATAATAATTATCATTCATTTCATTTGTTTAATACATTAAAACTTAATTAATATAGAACTTAAGTACAATTTACCTGTAACGAGGGATAAAATTAAGATAATTGAAAGAAATAATTGTCTTGCCAGTTCCATTTCATAGAGATATCAATTAAAACTTATAGAAAATTGTGAGACTTGATATTCACTTGCCAATAGCAGTCACAAGAGTAGGAATAAAAAGTGGAAATTCTAGTTGGCAACATTGTTTGTAGTCAATCCTCGAAAACAAGTTAATTTTATGATTTCCTATTAATTATAATCTTTCTTTTTGACTTTTTTTACTTTTAACGTAACAAGGGAAAGTATTGTAATCGTATCAAATGTTTTTTTTTCTTTGATTTTTTGGATTTAGAGTCAAAAACGTCGAGATTTTTAAGTCAAAAAACACCGGGTAAAATCGGGTACGTGTATGCGAGCGCGTGCGTGAGTGCATGCGTGTGTTCGTATTTCGTTTAATATCCCAGGACCAGATTAAAAATCGAAATTTGGCATAGTAACAAATTTTTTAGAGTTACTCTCTATAATCCAGTAGAAGATATAAGTTATCGTGAATACCCCTGATTTCACTCCTTTGACACTTTATGACAATTTAAATTTAAAGCTTTATTGTCGTGTAAGTAAGCATTGTATAATAAATTAATGAAGGCATCACACAATTCATAAATCACATCTCAGTAATACTTTCAAAGAATGTAGAATCTTCTGAACTTAACGTCGATTTGGGTTATAATAAAGTAATCAAACTTTTCATCAGATTTTAATTTTAATGTTTGACCTTATTACTTTTCGCCCGGACAACGCTAGGCAATCTGGTAATATACATATAAACAAATAAACATCGAAAATGCCACATCTAACCAATCAAATATCCGTCTTTCACATATATAAGAATTTAATACAGCTTATATTATGTATATATTAGTGGCGTGCTTTAATATAGCACAGAGAAGTATACAGTGATATATTAATACAGTAAAACCTGTTCAAAACGGAAACCTTCCAAACTGGAGAGAATATTAGGTACAGCGCGAGTCTGGCATATACAGGTTTTACTGTAATGTATAAACGTTCGATTGCTTGTAATGTGTCGCCATCTGTTCGTCGTGAACATAATGTTAACAGCATTTATCCTCTACTAATCCTCAGTATTTATGTTTAAATATATATATATTTTTAAATTAAATTCTGTATTTGCTCAATGAATATTTTGTTTTATGGTATAATAATAAAAGAAAATTATTTATTCAAGTTTCCATACTGATAATGGAGTAGGGATCGGAGAGGCAGCCAAAGGGGTGATCGCCCACTGAAAATTTTTGGTGCTAATCCATGCTTTATTAGTATTATTTTTTTAATGATAAGATTATATTCTAATATTTTTATCTTTACTTTTAAATTTTGTTACATTTTTTAACGCTGTAATTATGTTTATTTAATTACACGAACTAAAAATTGCCTATGAGATTTACTTCTAGATCTGCCACTCTGTTGACATAAATGGAAAATGAATAATAATTTATTAGAGACATAATTTTTCATATTTTTCTAGATATACATACAGTTGAAAGACATTTGTATATTGTCAAATATTTATTTTAAAATTGTTAAACCAGCAATTTAAAACGAATGACGATAAAAATAACAATTCGATTGTTTTTACGTTATATTTGTAAATATATTTTCTTGCAATAAATCCATTTGCACTTCCGCAGTATTTGATTTTTTCGTTGACTCCCTTTCTAATGTCATATAATTTTTCTGTCAGGAAATCATTTGGCAGATACAAAACAAGGAATCCTCCCAAAATAAGAATAAAGCCCAGTCTTCCTAACAGCCCTTTGGCTGCCACCTAAGTAGATCTCATTCCTTTATGTATACTACCATCTGATTGAATTTATATTATTATTGAACTTAACTGAAGGAATATCAATTAATTATTGACTTAAAATGAGAGTAGAGGGTAAAGAGAGATATAAATTTTAAATAATTTATATTCAGATTCTCCGACTTGTTTGGAGTTAAAGCTCCTCTTAAACTTTTCTTTCCCTCTAAGTGTTAAATTTAAATTTGTATAACAATTAAAATGAATAAAAATTATTACCTTTAATGTAATTAATTATAATTATATTAATGATAATTTAGTATAATTACAATTTAGTTTTCTTAAAGAACTTTGAATGTTTCGCTTCTCTCATATGTATGAGAGAGGGGAGAAATAAATATTTAAATTTATGAATTTTTAATAATACCTACATTAAAAATATTTGTAAAAACAACTTACATAAAAAATAAATATATTTATATTTAACATAATAATATATAATTAATTGGTTAACACGAAGGCTGAACTCAATTACGCCCATTTAGGCTGGAACTAATCCAAAATGGGAACGGCTAATGTAGATGAGATGGCGAGGGACGAGAAAGTTTGATCGAGACATCACTCCCCGTTTTTATTTTACACTGCCAGAATTAGACCCACCATAATAGATTCATTGAAAAATTTGGGATAAATCCTGGAAGAACCCTGTTAAAAGTTCTAGGGTTTTTCAACTGCTCAGATTCGTTCGTGGATCCACAGACTGATAGTATGGCACCTTAACCTAGTGATTTTCAAGCAGGGTGCCGCGGCAGACTAGGATGCCACAATGACACCCCAAGAACCGCTAAGCACAGTGATGAGCAGCACCATAACGCTTTTTACGTGTACTACAACGTTACAAAGGTATTAAATAATTTATAATTTGAATTTCATGTGGATATACAATAATAATACACATAAAAATGTTGTGTTGCTGCTCATCATTGTTTCGCGGCATCCTTAAGGTGTCATTGTGGCACCCTAGTGTACCGCGGTATCTCGGTAAAACGTAGATAAAAATAAAAACCATAAAGTTATTTGTTTTCAAATGCGTGTGAATTTTAAAACAGCTCATTAAGGTCAGTCCACCTAAACCTTAGTGTTTTAAACCAAAAATGTTAGACTCCAAGGGGGACCACAAAATGGGTTATCGGTTTCATCCTAGATGCCGTTACAATTGGTGAAAAAAAAAACGAAGTAAACTTCATTTTCTTAAATGGGAACCGCCATTTTTATTGCATATTATGATTCTATATTCAAAACAAAGTAGCTGTTAAGTAAAACAATTTTTCGGAATATATGAAGTTATGAGCGTTTGAAGTTTTATGCAACAGCTACATTAGGTACTGTACCCGTGAACCCGTAGATATCTGTGAAGTTCACTGAATACAGGAAGAAAATTGTTAAAATAAATTACTAGGTGACTATTATTAGGTGGAATCATTTTTCTAAATAATGAACTAATACAAAACTAATGCCAGCAGCAGAGCCGGCCCTACCATAGGACGAACGGAGCAGCCGCTCCAGGCGCTAAGTCCTAGGGGACGCCTCAGTGGTAAAGAAAATTAAAGGGTATAAATTAGAGGCAACCAAGGGGGGCGCCATAATAGGATCTCGCTCCATCCTAAAACTTGCCTCGGGCCGACACTGGCCAGCAGACCGTGTTAAAGATGTGGCGGCCACATAAAACTTCAAACGTCTATACTTCTAATAAATGCATCTTTCAGAAGAAATGTTTCAGATAAATTTTGTTAATTTTTTACATAGAATCATAATATACAAAAAGAAAAAAAATGGTGTTTCAATTTAAGAAAATAAACTTGTTTTCACCGATTGTAGTCCAATCTATAATGAAATCTATAATGACCTTCCACTCGATTGTCTGTTATTCTTCTGTCGTAAGAGCTCTTGTGGCCATCCGTTCGTCGACGTTTCTATTACAATAGAGTCGCTATTCTGAAGAATTTTTAATTTGACACTTTCGACTAGATAACGCGGCGGCTTGTCACGTTACGAGACGGGATTTTCGTTTCAAAATCAGATTTTTACAACTTTTCATAGCTAGCCTGACCTGGATATATAAAAATATTCGTTTACCGTTAGTAATTTGGGATTCTTATTTCCGAGCTGAATGAATCCATAATGATATTTCAGTCTAAGAAGTGATATTTCAATCTACCATCTTAAGAATTTGGATTTATATCCTATCCGCACTATATAAGTTATTGTGGAAGTATGGATCAGAACTTCGTTCCTTCCACTGCCGACCAAATAAGTCCAAATGGACGAAATTGTGGCCGATCACTCAAATTTTTTCCATTTTATTCTTTCCGTTTTGTTGGCACTAACCTGCTATTTCATCAATATGTATTTGACAAATCTTAATGTTAGTGATTATTTTAAAAATAATGGAATTAAAAAGACATAAATTAAACTTATTGTAGTAAATTGTATAGATTAAATTGTAGCAACATCACTCAGAATAAATACATGAAATGCCCATTGACCCGATTCCGGGTCAATGGGCATTTCATCGGGTTTTCAGCTAGAGGTTTGCTTCCATATAGACTCGACCATTTGAAGACAAACTTCTCAAATGGAAATCTTTTTTACGCCCCATAGATTGTAGAATTCCTTGACGCATTCACAATTTATAGTTCAGAGATAACTTTCATTGGTTACAATCAATTTTTTTTCTATTTTATGAAAACCTTTAATATCAAACCTAAGATCGTGTTACATTTGAATGTTCATATCACGTTCCTTTTTCTGTAAATGAGTTGTTTTCTGTACTGGTAAAAACGACTATACATAACACCTTTTGATTCTAGTTTAATTTTGGTTTTTTTTTAACTCTTTTTGCCCTGCGGGCACTAAGACGGTCTCTTTTTGCAAGCCCATTATGGGTTCGGCCAGGCCCACAATGGAGTAGCCGGATAGTGAGGGACGGGGCCCGACATATCTGAGCGGACCACCCCCCGAAAAATTCCTGAGAATTTTTTCGACCTGCTCGAATTAGAACCCGGATCTCCCAGAGTGGTAGGCTGCCATCCGGCCGCTATTTTTGGTTCTGTTTTTGCATACAACTGTCACAAGAAGGTTATCAACATTGATAAGTGATAGTCTTTTGCAATTTTGATTTACTTCCTTTTGTTTTTAGTTTTCACTTTTTCTGTTCCATTGTAGCTATCTAAAATACCCTTTTCTACTCCAATTAAGAATTCTTCTTTTTTACTTTATCCGCTTGTGGGCACTAAGAGGTCCTGTTAGACCCCACCGAGCGGAAAGAGTTATCAAGAGAATCAAGCCCATCACGAGAT